GGGGCTGATTACACCAATGTCAAAAGCCGTCGTAAGGATTGAATGGGATACTACCTGTGGAGCATTCCGCAGAGCACCGCACCTGGTCATGCCTAATGTCAGCAAAAGGGTTCATGGGTTGGAGAGAGGCATTACTGCAGGAAGAAAAAAATCAGCGAGAAAAGGTATTTTAAGACAGTGGCAGTGGGATGCAGAGGAGGGTAGAGATGAAGGAGAGGTTTTGCAAATGGAATCAATAGACTCTGGTGACTAACTGGGTGTGAAAAGTGAGCTGTGAAGGTTGAGGAGGAGTCGAGCCGTGCGGTTGCTATGCCCACACAGGAAGCTGGTGGGGAGGACAGGGTGTAGGGAAAGAGGTCACGAGTTCCCATCCTGGCCATGTGGGGTTAGAGGTGGGAATGTCAGGAATGCAGCTGGAAATAGGAGCTCAAGGCAACAGATGGGGGGGGGGTGGAAGGATGGTGGGGGTCTAGCTGGTTTACAGAAGGTGGCTGACATGATGCAAATGGCCCCAAAGTTCCCACTGGCAGAGCATTTGGGGTGAGAAGAAATATGAGACCAGGATTCCCGGGAATGGTAACATTAAAGGGGTGAATGGAAAAGGGGGCCTGTGAAGGGCACAGCCAGCCACTCCTGGGCTATGGTGCACCTGACACAGTGGGAGGAGTGGACCCAGAATGCCAGGAGCAGCCCTCTGGGAGGGCTGGGACCACAGAGCAACTGCTCTACTTGACTCAGTGAGGGCTGCTCTGCCTGCCAGCTGCATTGCCAGATGTTCTCAGCCAGCCTCTGGGCTTTTGGGGGAGCTGGGCAACATTTATGGTTGGAATTCTTTGGAGTAAGTAGAAAAAGGCAAGGCCCAGGCAGCAATGGAAGGCCAGGAGGGCTTTTCCATGTGCACTTGCCACTCAGTGCTCTGGAGGAGGCTTGTTGGAAGCCAGGGATTGCAGCAGCTGTCTTAAAATTCAGAGCCCAATGTCTTCATTAACTGATGAAGTAGAGACTCATGCCCTGGTCACTTCCTGACCTGATTAGTAACAATTAATGGACTCAGCAATAGATCTTTTGCATAGATTAGAAGTCGCGCAGAATAGAGCCTGACACCTGCCAGCACACTTCTGACTCCACACATCCGATATGGTTTGCCCGGGTCCCATCCATTGTTGCATAATAACTATAGCTGCCACTTATTTGAGTCCATACCAAGTGGCAGGCACGGTGACAAGCTGTTTGCAGGGATTATCTCATTTGATTCTTATAACAATTCCATGATGTTACACAATTCTCACTTCAGCTTCATAAGCAGAGAAGTGAACTCTACAAATGGCCTTTTGCTTTTCAAAATGCACAGGACTTCTCAGGTGTGGACACAGAGCAGCTGCTAAAGGGTGGGGGGACTCTCAGAATGCACCCTACATGAGACAGTAACAGCCGTGGGTCCCAGGGTTGGAAGTGATGGTGAACATTTATTGGTGGTAAAGCTATTCCACAGAATAAGTTCTAGCCATGTTGGCAAAACCAGTTCAAGAGATCACACTGACAACAGTGCTCTCTGAATGCACAGAATAAGTATCTAGAAACTTCCAGCAGTGAGCACAAATCAACATGGTTGCAAGGATTTCAAGTTTGGAATAGCCAGTAACAAGGGAATCATCAATTTCTAGGGTGGAGGCCAGGATCTATTTCCCCAGCATGTTGCCATTTCCTACCAGTGGACTCTGAGACCTAGTGTATACGTCATAAACCCTAGGCTCTTTCCTTCCAACTGTCTGGAATTTCTGAGTTGTGGGGCTTTTGACTCACTCCACATGAAGAAAAGAACAACATCCCTCACCAAGCCTGGATTGCAGAGCTTAAGAAGACGTCAGAATCATTGCTAGGTTCCAGAATTTTAGAATATGAGAAAATAACATCTTCCAAGGACCATGTGGTTTTGGGGCTGTAATGGAGTCTACTTCGTAGTCAGACATGTGGGCTCTTAAAATTGGGAAAATCTGAGCTTGAATCACAGCTCTACCACTTTAAGAGTTGTGAGGCTTGGACTCTCCACTTACTTTTTTGGCCTTCATTTCATTACCCGTACAATGCAGATAACAACACTCCTGGGGGTGATGAAGGAGTTAAATGAGAAATTTGAGTGCAACGTTTAGTACTGGCTGGTAGTACAGAGGCGTGTGGAGTTGGCTGTGCCAGCCCTACAGAGCCAGTCACACGCATCTCTTCCTAACCCTGCCTTCAGGAGCAGCATGTTGGCAGCTTGAAATCAGCCAGGGTGAGAGTGTTTACACTACAGAAATTGGCACATGCTGCAAACCAGAGCACCGAATATTATCAACTATTGTTACAGAGCCCCGCTCCCTGATCCATCTTGAATGCATATTAACTTATATCTGGATATGATGGCTTGAGAATGAATTCCATATTCTTTCCTGAAGATTTCCAGAAGCTTCCGTTTCACTGATCATCTCGTGCACAGAATTCCTGCCTATGACTTGGTGTCTTTATTACTGGAATGTTCTACTTCCTCTCCCCATATCACCTCTTGGTGTATGTAAACTTTTACTTCATTTTCTCCCAAATTAACAAAAAGCTCTGATGTAAAGCAGCTTTTTAGTAAAGCTTTTTTTTTCTTTTTTTTTTTTCGGGGGGGGGGCCACAGGTGTTTTAGAACTGCCAAAACTACAGATAACTTAAAAACTGCTGCTGATCATAACCACTGCCACTACCATGACCATCACCACAACCACCAATACAGGTCACTAAGTGTGTGCGAGGCCCTCTCCTGAATGAATTAACATTCAGTCACTGTCCCCAGAAGGCCCTGGACATTCCGCCATCAGGCATTTCTCACTGCCTGTCTTTTTTCCTCAGCCTCTAGCTTCCTTCCTCTTTTTCTCCCCACTTCTCTCTCTTCTCCCTGTTTTTGGACTTCTCAGCTCCCCTTCCCATGCTAATAGATAATTAGTCTATTTTCCATTTTATTTCATCTTCTATGAATTACCCAGTTATTTCCTCTGCCGATTCTCTAGTGTATCTAACAGAGTCACGTGCTCCCTCCCCTCCTCCCTGCACCTGGCTGCAGCTTGCCCAGGACATACCTGAGTCCTCGCATTGCTTCATGCCAGGGCCCCATCCAGGAGTGCGGGCTGGCCCAGATAAGAGGAAAAGTGAGATCGTGAAGCTTCTATTGGGTTGCGTTGCCATCTCAGGGAAGGTGGCTTTTCAAAGCTTCCCCTGAGTGTTGCAAGTAGGCTCCAGGGCACGTTCGGGAAGTTAGAGAATGAAGAAGAGAGAGAGCTAAATTTCTGTGAATTTGGGGTTGGGGAGATAAGGGGAGAGAAAGGAGGGGGGCAGGAAGAGCTAGTAATATGGCGGGCAGATGGAGCCTCTGGGGAAGGGTAGAAGGTTTCTAAGACAAGAAGACAGCAAAGACAAGAACACAGAGGTATGGAATTCTACACAAGGTAACTTGCTCATCAAAGAGAAATCCCAGGTAGCAAAGTGACTGGGAGATGGGTAGGAAGAGGATGTATACTGTCCAATTTTAAGTCTGTATATAACCAAACATTCAGTGTATTCACACTTCTGTAGAAATCAAGTAACTGGAGCTGAATTCCATGTCAGGGCTGGTGGCGTGCACGGCACAGAGCAGCTGTGGAGGCCCTGTGACTTCAGTGTCTGTGTCCCCACTCGTGTCAAGAGCTGCACTGGCTCCAACCAATCATTAGAGTGATGGCATTTAATTTTAACACAGAGTTGCTTATAATCAACTCTGAAGTTCTCCAGGGTTTATGAGAATTCTTTTTGCCCTTTCAATGGGGTTTGTATTTCACTCACATTCGAGAAAAACTGTCCTATAGTGTAAAGACTTGTTAAAGAGAATCAAGTCTTATAAGACCTTTTGTATATTGTCCATGATGATGATGATATTTTTTATCTAGTTTTCAAAGTAAGTACATCAGAATTTCTATTAGGAAATCTTTTATTGTTCATGTCTATAAAGTATTTACTAATTTCGGATTGACCTAACCTGAGTTAGCCTAAATTATCTATTGTTCTGTCAAAGCAAGATGAAAGTTGTTTGTATATCTGAAGTTTTGCCTTGGAGAGTCAATATTTACACAGCTATGAAGTAATACATTTCTATGGGTAGTGTAAGGTAGTGCTTCGCAGTTTTATTCAGGATAGGAATAGCAGTAAAAAAAATCAGTTTTTTCTTGTATGTTAGTAATGATCTAATGTTGAGAAGAGCTGTCATAATTTAGAAGGCTCATGTCTTATCTATTAAGATCACAAGTTGGAAAGTCAATACACATTTTTGGGGGCTACTACCTAGAGTCAGGCAAGTGCAAGGTACAGTAGAAAACTGAAATGGGTACCACTTTGGAGAACACAGAAATAAAAATGAAAGATTAGACTCTGCAAAGACTCAGAAGACTTAAGGGATAAATTCTAAGGGCTTGGCAAAGGAGCCAAGTCTAGCACTGGCTGGAAAACCAGGAAAGCTTCATGAGAAGGTGACATTTCCATCAGGTTTCCAGGGAGAAGGGGATTTCTAAGACAAGAAGACAGCAAAGGCAAGGACACAGAGGTATGAAGTTCTACAGAATGTAACTTGCTCATCAAACAAATACTAGGTTTGGGAAAAGCATTCTAAGGTTTCATCTTTGATGTTCCTCAAAAATATTACCAAGGTAGCTAAAATTCAGATCACCTAAATTTTGTCCCTTCTGTTCATTGCATATGTTTCTTTTTTGATCCTCAATCCTGATGCAGAAAAAAATATATGTCTAATTAAAAGCAAGGGCTACTTCTGGATTTTAACACCATGGCGTGGTGGAGGTACTGATATGAATGCCTGTGGAGACTATGAAATTTATATCTGTTTAACCACAAATGATATAACGGTGCTAAAATGAATCAAGAGAAATTTAAAGACACTTGGAAGGCATTATAAGTGCATCTGAAATCAGGTTAAAAATAAGTCACAGCTTTGCTTCTGATTTCTGAAACATCTTTGTTTAATTATAGAATTATTTTCATCTTCCATTCATCATAAATAATCCACTTCATTACTTAACCAAACCTTTTGAAAAAAATTTGGTACTTAGCATAACAAAACAAACACTGAACATTAGCCAGAGGTGTGTTAGTCTTAAACAGAATAGGAAAGAATATTTTTTAAAAACCCACAAAAAATTTTAGAACCTAGAAAAAAAAAAAACATGAAAAGATCAACATTATTATCCATTAAAAATCCCATTTCATAACAACCATTAAAAAAAAAGCCAGGTGGAAAAGTGAGTAAACATAAATATAATCTAATGTATTTCTTTCATAAATACACTTAGATAAAACAAATAACATAAAACAAACAGCTTGACAGTGTATAAACATAACAAAATATTTAAGCTCTGAATAATTAAATCCCAATAAGCACGAATTAAAAATAAATTTTATTTTTTGTTCTTTATGAAAAAATATGCCACAGCATTTGTGTAAAAAAAGAAATAGGCACAAACATGTCACTAAAGCCACCAAAGTTCACTATGTAAAGATTATTTGAAAACAAAACATTTTTTAAAGCAAAAGAGCAGATGTTATCATAGCATTTTCAGCTGAATTTTATCCCATAATCACACCTACTATAGGTGTTAGACAATAGAGGTAGATAAGTTGGGGAGAATCAGTATTGTAATGCTAGGAAGAAAGATTTTTATGATAGCTCAGAGAGACAGATGATAGACAGACATTTCCATTTACTCTAAAATCCAAAGAAGCTTGTAGAAACAAAACACGAAAGCCTTTCTCTGCTTTCTAGAAGCATCAAAAATAGCATGCAAAATGACTGCAGGTTGAGACAAAAGTGAAATTCTTGATAACTGTGTATACTACAGCCTGTTTAGCACAGATTTTTGTAGAGTCTGGTAGTAGCCTTAAAATTTACATTGAGCATAACTCTTATAAAATTTCTGAGGGTCAATGACATGGACAAAAGATGAAACCTGATAGTAACAATAATATAAACTTACAGTACTGATACACATGGTAAGTTTCTAAGGGATGATTTTTCGTTGCTCTGGGCGCAACAACAACATAGCACAAACAGCTGCTGAGGATATTGTGTGGCTTCGGTGAGACCCAGGATGCCAATACTATCTGTCAAATCAAGACAGGACATGTAGGGAGGTATGTCAGGATAGTGTACAGGAAACAGAAAAAGTGTTCCCTTAGTTCTATATATTCCTTTATTCTCTATTTGGGTCCAGTTAAAGTTCTTGCAGCCACAGTAGAAGCAATTATTGGATACTCCTTTGAAAGCTGGTACCCAATGGGGAACTAATTTTACTTGATATTTTGGTTAATGAATGCTGTTGCATTTTCTTTCCATCTGGCTAGACAGAATGTGTATATGTAACATGAGTTTGCATCTATGACCTTTATATTTTCATTTATTCATAAGAGCAATATGGTTTAACTTTTTCAAAAATGTTGCAAACATTTGTCAGATCTGCCAAGGAAATTCTCATTAATTAATTGTCTCAAATGTCTTGGGTGTGCTTAATTCCAAGATGTAACAGGCTGTTTCTGGCTAAAAGGGGCAATTCGGAAAGTGCTCAGCACATCTGTGTAACAGGAAAAAAAATTTGGTCTCAGTCGTGGAATGTGAATATTACCCATCATTAATTGTTGCTGCTTTCAAACCAATTGTAACATTTTTGTGCCTCATATTTGGCTATTACAAGTGTTCAAGTGTATTGGAAAACAGGTAAGAAAAAAATTATAGAAGAGGAAAATCATATTAAGATACAATTTAAGGACCCTGAAAACCAAGTTACATAATCTAACTCAAAAACTTCACTTAATTCACTCATAACTCAAACATAGGGATTTTTCTTTGAAGCAGCATATAATAAATTTAAGCCATATAGCATCACAATCTCTTATAATAGGAATGAGGAATTTCTATGCAGAAACTATTTGAAAGGATGCCTTAAAAAATGATGTCAAGGAATGCAGAGAACTTACTCTTTTCAGCATCTATTCCCTCTATAACCCCTGCTGAGTTGATAAAAAAGAGGCATGTCACAGTTGTAGGAAAAAAAAATCACACAGTAAATCAAAGTGTGCATGGATAAGACTTTGGAAATGTTCACTGTCATCAGAAGGGCATTTTCCTGATGGTGTGACCTCATTTCGAACATTACAGTAAATATTATATAGTATTGCACAAAAGGTGGTGCAGAGAAAGCATGTTTGCTTTTTGTCACTTATTGTGACTATTTCCTGCATTAGGAAAAAAAAATTAACTCCGAAATATTATACCACCCCTGGCAGCAACCTACAAAGTATGTTTTGGAAATAACGCTCTTGTCAAATACATTTTAAGGCACTTAAGCAGGTATATCATATTTTTGTGTAAAAAAATAAAATATTCATTGAAGCAACATTCACAAGTACAAGTCTTCAGAATTGTTTGCCTGTACAATCCTGTACATATATACACCACTACAGAAAGTGCTCCTCTTGTTATACTGTTGGCCTTGTCAACTTCACTCCCTGCAAGAAAGGAAAACATGTTGTTCAGAGTTGGGTGGTATCTGTGAACAAAGTGAAAGTATCAAGTAACGCCTAATAATTTATGCTACTAGTAGGAAGAAGAGCATCCTCCCCCATGGCATTGCATAACCAATAATTCAAACTTCTGGACACAAACAGATTTACCTGCCCATTTCGCAGGCCAGCACACTTTGTCATCTGCCCCTAGCCTGGCATGCTACTCATACAGCTCCCCTGTGCACCAGCTGGTGCCTTAGGTCTTAATCAGTATTGTTTGCTGATTAAGTAGAGGGGGTATTCACGAATACCCCAAAGATGGACTCTTTGTATTTATTTTAGTGGTCAAAATCAAAGGATAAATTCTGGGTTTTTCTGGATTATTCTAAATTAGCCAGTGGCTCCATAGTTTGGAGTGGTTTCTTTGCAAAGGAAAAATGAACATTATCCAATTTACCCTCCCTTTTGGAAATGCTTCTGTTACTTTGTAGAACAAATCCCAGAGCTTTTAAACATTTAGAAGAAAAATTTACTCCGATTACTTAGTTGTTCACTACAATTGCTTATTATTGATAAGAGTATTAGGATTTTCAAATAATTTTCTTCATTCTTTACCAAAATTTATACATACAAATTGTGACAATGCACATATATATTAGTAAACATAAGCATAAATATAAGTGGAAGTTTTCAAAGGGGATAAATAGTGAAAGAAAGGAAAAGATATTAAACTGCTTCTCTACCAACTCTGAGTAGGAGGCTCAGAGCCTGGTGTGGTCCCCAGTATCGAATTGATTTTATGTAACAAAATTTAACATTTTGTTAAGTAACTGAATTAGTGAACATGTTGGATGGGCTAATTTTCTCAGGTAGGGTCCTGGGGGCCTAGGGCCAGCCTTCTAAAAGTGATGGTATAATACAGTTCCATCTAGAGTGTCATCAAGGTGTTGAGGAAAGATCCTGGGAGCCAAACAGACCAGGATTCAAGTCCAAACTCCAGCACTGACTGACACATGGCCTTGGGCTAGCTGCCCAACTCTCTGAGTATTTCCTCACCTGGAAAATGGGCACAGCAAAGCCTGCAATGAACATCATTGTAGACGATGATGATGACAATAATCATAGCAGCTAGCTTTTATCAAATACCTGCCAGTGATCCTCTACAACACCGAGAGTGTACATCTTATCATTAGTCCCACAGTGGCAGAAACTGAGATACAGAGAAGTTAAGTAAGCCAAGGTCACGCGGTGAGAAAGTGGTAGAGCCAGCAGCCTGAGCTCTGCGCCAGGTGGGCTGGCCTCAGATCCAGCCCCTGGATCAGGTAAAGGATGGAAGGTGCTTAGCAGAGCTCAGAAGGTGGTACTGTGGCCATTCTGTTTTCAAGATATTAAGGACATGACACGGGGGCACTTTGTCATTTGATGTCTCTTCTTCCTGCACATCTCCTTACTGATAATAGCTGCTGCCTCACGTACAGACGACAGTAAGTCCTGGCAGTTCTAACCCACCAGGAAGGAGCCAGCTCTATCAGCAATACCATGTTCTATGCATTGTCTACACTTCTTGGGAATCACCCAGTTAATTTTGGCTGATAAGTTAGGAAATAAAATTGACAAATATCTAATATGTAACAAGACTCTAAGGTTGGTGAAATTAACATTGTGTGGGCTCCTTTGCTACTTAAATTTTATTTTTTAATGCCTGAACACAGTTTTGCCATATAAAGAAGTTATTTTGTGTCTGGAAAATTAAAAATAAATTAGGTATCCTAGATAATGCCAGGTTCTGTTGTATTTAGAAAGGCATGTCAAATGAGGACACAGCTGAAAGACTGGGTGGGGCAAAGATGACAGACTCCAGAGTGGAGTGCTTACATATTTTGAGTATATTTACTGAACCTTTACCCTGTGCAATATGCCCTTCAATATGAGTGAATTAAAAAGAGCTTTATAAAACTGCATTTAACGTATAATTGTCATTTATAACAATTTCAAGCCTTTAACCCTCAACCTTCCTGTTCAAATTGAAATGGACCAATGCACCACGATTATGGTATTTAGTTAAGGAAATAATGTACTTGAGAATGAGGATATGCTAGCAAAAGCTTAAGTGTATGAACAGTTCAGATTAGGCAATAGCATTTCAGTCTAATTTGGATCCAAATAAGATCCTTCCAGAGTCTCACCTTCTGCCTCGACACCATCCAAGACTTAATTGTTGGCACCAACACACTCCCCAGAAGGATCTGAGCTGGGTGGTAGATGAGCAAGGGTACGGATATCAAAGAGAGATGTTCATGGCCTGCAAACACTATCTTCAGCATCGGAATTCCTGATGAACAAAGAAGACAGAAAACCTAGATGCAAATTCAGTTTGTCTTCAAATTAAAGACACACTCCATTAAAATCAGAACGTCAGAAAAGGTTATTACCATATTTCCTTGTGTGTATTCACAGAACCGAAGTGGGAAGAACTCACCAAATCTTCTTTTCACTATATAAAGCTCTAAGCTCTAACTAGAACAGATTAAAGTGAAAAGGTAGTCTGTATTCAAGGGTACCAATAACTCTCACTGTGGATTAGCAGACTGTCTAACAAGGAAAGGAGAGAAGATTGCATGTGACAAAATTGCCTTAAGAAGGTTGAAAAATATTGGTAAGGGAGAGGTTAAAAATAGATGTTCTCTTGCTTAGTAGAGCAATAGCCTGTTGGTCTTTAGGGAGGTCTGCCTGGCACCAGTTCAAAGCCTTAACGCTGACTTTTGAGAGTTGAAAGGATATGGTCAGATAATGTATGGTATATATACCCTCTAAGCTTCAGTCAACTGAATATTGATAAAGGCTTTGTGTGTTCTCTTTTGGCCAAGGATCTCAAAGTGCTTTATAATCATCAAGCAAGGCTCATGCAATGTTGTATATGGCAGATGAGTTATAAAATTAAGGCTAAATGTTTATTTTTTAATTTATTGTTTAATTTTTTTTTTTTTTTTGAGACAGAGTCTTGCTCTGCTGCCCAAACTCGAGTGCCGTGGTGTCAGCCTAGCTCACAGCAACCTCAAACTCCTGGGCTCAAGCAATCCTCCTGCCTCAGCCTCCTGAGTAGCTGGGACTATAGGCATGTACCACCATGCCTGGCTAATTTATTTTTTTCTATATATTTTTAGTTGTACAGCTAATTTCTTTCTATTTTTAGTAGAGATGGGTCTCACTCTTGCTCAGGCTGGTCTTGAACTCCTGACCTTGAGCGATCCTCCCACCTTGGCCTCCCAGAGTGCTAGGATTACAGGCGTGAGCTACCGCACCCAGCCAAGGCTAAATGTTTAATCCTCACAGTCAATGTATCATTGGAACTCAAATATATGAATACTACTTTGTGAGTCTACCATTCTCTTATACGAAGGGCAGGGTGTGTATGTTTTGTAACTGGCTGCCTATAGAGCATACCCTTTGAGCTTCTATAACTAATGAAATTCAGATACTAGCAGTTTAACTATTATTACCAATTATTTTAATACAGCCATGGTCTTCGGAATTGCTATGTACATATATCAGCTTTTTCGAATGAATAGCTTTAATAGCTTAGCTTTCTTCTTATTTCCCAGAGAATGGCCTCTTAAAGGACCCGAGCTCCTAAACACACAATGATGGCACATAAATAACTTTTTATTGTAACACAACAAGGAAGGCTTGGCTTTTTCAATTATTTTTACCTTCTAATAAATTTCAAACCTTTATGCAAAAATGTATTTCATGGCTGATTTCTTTTCCACAGCCTCACATATCATTACCATAAACTGAAAACACTTAACCCTTCCCAAACATCAAGTCTCTCTTAGAGCTTCCAAGGTACACATTTAGATTTTTGCAGTTTCTGTTTTCACACTAATATAAAAAAAACAAAATAGCTTTCTTTTAAGAAAACAATAAGCTTTAAAACTCTATTTGTTGTTGAAAAATAGCATCTAATACTATAGTTTTGGAAAGTTACTACAATGAGAAAATTTTAAGATCTGCACACAACTCCTCCTGTTTTCAAGACAGGTTATACATTCTTTGGCCCAAAGGGATGATGCTAAGAAACTGGGGGACGGAATAGAGTGAAAGTGAGGCTAAAGATAGCAAGTGATAGAAGTATGAAGATATTTTGTCTCTAAAAGTGACCAAAGTGGGACTTTCTGACCCAAAATCAAGGACTGTGGCTGCTGAGTTAAATCACCTGAGTGATTGGCTAAGAATCTTTCTTGGCTAAGAATCTGAGCTCTGTGTCATTCTTCAGCAAGCTCATATGGGCTCGGAAGGGAAGCCAAAGCCATAGAGAGAGTCCCAGGTGCTGCTGTCACAATAAGTAAACAAAAAATCGATTGCAAAATATGCAAGGTATCTACATGTAAGCAACATCACAAATTCACTGCAATGTGACAAAGTAGGTGCACAAAGATAGTGACAGCACCAATGCTAATGGCATGTCCCGAGCGCTCACTATGTGGCTTGATCTGTCAAATGTTTTCCCATAGTAAGCGAACTATACCCCACAGCAACCCTGTGAGGTTGATGAAAACTATCCTTTTCACCATTTTACTGGAAACTGAACCATCTAGTAGTCAGGAAACTTTCCCCAGCAGTAGACTCCAAACTGCCACTCAGGACACCTGAATTTCCAGTTCTCTGTATCAGGTAAGGTCAGTTCGAGACGCCATGGGCACTGCAGCTCCAGTGAAGAACAGGGCCTGGCATGCAAAAAGTTTTCTAGTCCAGCCATCCTTCTGGAACTCATCCCCCTTGAAGCACTTGCAGGGCAGCCGACCTTGCTAAACTCCACCCCCTTCCCCCACACCAGGATGTCCTGGTGATTTTGGGTGGGTGAAAAGCTAAGTGACAGCTAGCACTACCCCAATAGTGGCAAAGGAGCCATGGATTCGAAGACATAGCCAAGTCTTGACCCTCAAGAAGTTTCTGGCGTACAAGTGACCTCTATCTTCTTTGGACCCTAAGAGCAAGTTGCAGGAAGCTCTCTACAGGCCTGTGCTGTTTCTGCAGTTCTTAGCTCTCCTATTCAGACAAGGGCCCTTTTGTGCGCTGCTCTCTCCAGGGGGCTGGGACTCTGCACATATCAGTCCCCCTGGTCACCTGCTCCCTCCAATGTTCTGCCAACAGGGGCACTAGAGGGAGGCTGGAGAAGGAGGAGGAATTTCTTTCCAGGTACCTGGGCTTCCTGCCGGCAATAGCACCTTCACTCCTGCAACTGATCGAGCACTGTGCGCAGGGCTAGGCACGCCCGGAGGCAGTAAGTGAGGGAATGCTGCCTTTATGTAACTTACTGGGCACACGGGTGACCGCTCACACCCCCATTCCCATCCCCATCCTCCAGGGCACCGTCAGCTCTCAGTTGCGCTTCCTGCTTCTGCCTTCACGCTTGTCCTGCCCAAGCCATTTTCTACTCTGTGACCAGAGTGAACATTCTAAAGTGCAAATGTGATCATGGCAAATCCCGCAGAAGTTTATCACACAGGATGGACTCCTAAGTGTGGCATACAGGGACTTCATGACTCGGCCCCCAGCTTTTGCTCTTTCTCCCTCTAAATCTCATCACTCCTCTGCCCTTGGACCTCCGTGCTCCAGCCATGACAGGCACCTTGTGGCTCCTCCCACCCCTCCGTGCCCATGCGCCGTGCTCTGGCTAGGCCTTCGCACCTGACCTCCTTCTGCCTAGAGCGCCCACCTCCCACTTCCTGATCTGCTCAACTCCTTGGTATTCTTCAGCTGGCAGTAGTTCTTAGGCTGCTTCCTCTGGGAAGGCGTCCTCAAAGGCCCAAGGCTGTCCTTCAGATCCTGTCTGCTCCACGCTGACCTATGCCAGGGCATTCCATCTTCACCTTCGCTCCCTGAGCGTTGACCGCTTCTTGTGTGTTTCCCTCACCAAGCTCTAAGCCTCTTAGGATGGGCGACTGTTCCTTCTTCATCTTTGAGCATATGGTAAGTGCTCAAAACGAGTGTGTTGAATGAATGAATTCATATTTTTCCACATTCCATCATAAAGTTACTGTGCAGACCATCACTCCATTTTTACTACATTCGTTAATTAGGAAAAAAATAGTAATAATTTAAAAACCCAAACAAACTTACTAGAAAGAGTTTTCTTTTTAAAGCAAGATTTAAATATAGGACTCTTTTCATCTTGCTATCACTGCAGTAATATAAATGAAGCAAATTAATTTTAATGCTCCCAGGTACTGATTCTGTGTCACCATGGTTGACAGGATTCAACTAGACTTTATGAGATGGCATTTGACTTTATGGAAGTGAACACTATGCACGCATTTACAATTTTACAGGGACTTTAAGCTGTCATGCTGAAAAATGTTTATAAAACATTAATCAAAAAATGCCTCTTTAATACAATGCATTGTCTGAAAGATGTTAGAAGGCGCACATTGTAAATGGATTCTTTTTCTGACTAAAGTAATTTCCACCAAAAGCATTTCCCCATTGCTCTACAAGTACACTGTGTGGATAGATAAAGAGCACTTTCTCAGCACATTACTACCTGATCCAAACACTTGGGAAATCACTAATGTACAGCATGCCATATTTCCATGTCACACATGACACATTTGTCTAAAATTATCCAACAGAGTTTGACACCGCAGCATATTCCTGAAGCAGAGCTTTCAACTGACATCTGCCAAGTAGGAACTTCAAGTAAGAGCTTTCTTCTTCTAACAAGCAAGTAAGGGTTTTCTTTTATCCTATACCCAGGATGGAAAGGATAAAACAATATATACAAGAACAAGTTTTTTCCCATTTTAAATATGTTTATTTTATGTTTTCTGAATTAAAAAATTCCCTTTGTATCAGTGTTCAAGTTTCAATGATTACTACATCTATTGGATGAACAGTTTCTTATTTTTCAAGAAACAGACATTTTTCTTCTCACATATGGACTTTTATTTAACTTGCACTGAAAGCTGCTCTGTTGTTCACAGTATAAAAACCATCTACTTGACATCATTGTTCAGAGTTTACTTGTGCAGGAGTATAATGTTCCCACCATTCATTCATTCAAAAATACTTTTGGGCCTCTGCTATGTGTGAGTTTCTGTCCTAGGTGGTAGGAGAATAACCCAGACAAGGTCCTTGCACTCTTGGGTGCTGCTTTCTGTAGCTCTTGCCTGGACCCTCTCAGCTTCCCACGGTCTGGTGGCTGAGTGCCAGCCCCCGTGGTCCCGGCAGCCCCGGCCATCACTAGCTTACCCACTTTCTATAACTCAAGGCTTCGGATCATCTCTGACAAATCCCATTTGTCTCTCTACTGCTAGATCCAGTCACCAAATT